CCCCAAAACCCCAAAACCCCAAAACCCCAAAACCCCGCAATTATCATTAAAAATTGACCAAGAATTAAAAATATGGAAGATAGTCGTACACAAAATCGCCTTGACAACTTCATGAAGATAGGGCAAAAGAATATCAAGCGCAAGCGTGAAGAGTAATTGGCAAATTTAATCCTTAGATTTCTAGTAAATCTTCGTAAGAAGCAGAGACAAGATAAGTTCAAATAAAGCCAGAGAAGAGAAATTCAAGAAAATCATCCATTACAGTAATTTTTGAGTACAACTTCTAGGTATTGACGGCAAAGAAGTTGAGAATGGGGATTTATATGAAAACTACGCTACTTGTAAGCTCTTAATGAGAGTTAGAATATAGGCGATGGAAGCAAGATGCAGCATCTTGTCAATTGCATCCTTACAACAAGTACTAATCCCTGCTTATTAATCCACTTGATGAGATCAGGTACTGAGCTATCTCAAGTGAAGTAAGGAGAGAGTTTAACATTTGTAGTCCCAATAATGATGAAGAGCTCAAAGAATCAGAGATATTCTTATCCAAACCAATGTTAGATTTTTATTGAGTAAGATCACCTCATTTTTCTTGTGTTTGGAAATTAAACTCGATTGGTTTAAACTCCGCTCAGATGAATAAAAAAAATTATTTCTTTATTCAGATAAAGATCCCAAAGCTTAGCAATATTCTCAAAAATTCCCTCTAATAATTTTCCGCGAAATTTTCTCTAATAACAAATATAGAAAGTTTTCTTGGAAAGTTCAGATCTAAAAGTAAATTTCCCTTAATCTTTAGCTTATCTACGAAACAGTTAAAATTATGATAAACACTCTTGAGTTACACAGTTTGACGCCTGAAGAGATAGACTATTGTCAAGAAATTCAGCTGATCCAAGGAATGACCGGGCTCATCAACGTCAATGAAGCTGAAGGTCTTGAGCCATATAAACAGAAGGATTCTACTCAACTGTAAAAAGTTGTTCTAATTCTTTAGAAAATACTTGATCAAGGTGGTTGAGATCTCACTTGCACTTCTGATTAAGTTCATCAAGCAGTCCGAATACGCTGCTAGTAAGATAGACAAGGATATCCTGTACACTTTATTGAAGGATATCATCGATTTCAGAGAGATCTTCAAGATGCAGTCAGATGCACATATATGTAAAGACTAATTGTTCAACTTTTAGTGCCAGAGTTGGAGTTAATCATACTCACTCTTCCTGTTAGTGAGACTGATAGGAAAGGATATCAGTCTATGAAAGCAATCTGCAGCTGATTCGTAGAAGAAATCTTAGGTAATTTTTAAGAACTAACAGGCTAGACTCGAAAGATGCTGAATACAGCACAAACTTGATGACACTTCTCACAATCGCATTTTCCAGCACTGGGTCATTAATTGATATATTAAAGGATGAGCCTGAATTTTATGGTTACTTGATTGCACCATTCCATTCGAAGATGTTCTCATTGAATGATTTGTTCAATAATTTCCTGAGCACAAGGCTGAGTTTGATATCAGCGATAATCTTTTTCAGCGAGGACGATCATCATATGTTCCACCTATTGACTCAAAACTTACTTGAGTTGATTCTAGAAATCCTCAAAATTTCAGATGAACTCGAAATTTCTCACTGTAAATTCAAGGTACATAACATCAATCCTAAATTGCTTAAAAATTGGGTGGGTTCTTGAAATCTGGAAAAACTCTTAACCTAATCGCTTGAATTCTTATAGAATCTAGACCAAAACATGATTCAAGCCAGCATTGACGACCTCAAAGCAGAGTCTCTCTTTGTTTTCTCAAATCTATGCATGAGTAACAAGGAGAATAAGGAAAACGTAGGTGGCTAAGTGATCACTTTTAGATTCTCGAGATCACATATGGGCAAGAAATTGTTCAGAGAATCATAGATTTCATGACCCATTGCCATGCAAGAATTAGGAAAGAATCATATGAGTGTTTATACGGAATAGTACATCAATGAGAACCAAAATATATCACATGGCTTTGTGATGTGGACGTCATGGAGAAATGTTTAGACCAGATTGAGAATAGTAAGGACTTTCACGTAAGTGAAGTAGCATGCAGAGTCATCTTCTTCATTCTCTATTCTACTGAGGTTGATGATCCTCAATCTGTTAATTCGAAGAGACCTGGCTTATACACTCAGAAATTACATGATATGGGAGGAATTGATATCTTACAGGATTATCAAATGCATCCTAATGAAGAATTTAGACACCAAGTCAATGCTATTCTCTCTTATTTCTACAATACAGAAGATGACACAATTCATGTAGTTGAAGGTGATGCTCCATTTATACCCTCTCACAAACCTATTGTAGAGCAAGAAATTAGTTTATTCAATTAAATCAACACTTATCGGGGTTTTGGGGTTTTGGGGTTTTGGGGTTTTGGGG